AAACAATAGAGATTCTGAATTGTGACATGAACAACATGTCGGGTAAATTATGTTGAACATGTAAAATAATTACTTTTCGTATTGATAGATTGTATCAAGCACAAAAGTTCTATTTTTTTGGTTTTCGAGTTCTGAATTTCATCGCATGTTGTTTACGCTTTTGCTTTACAGAGATGAATATCAACACTCTTAGAGAGAGAGAGAGAGGGAGAGTCTGAGAGAGAGAGAGAGAGAGTATAGGTACGTAGAGTTTCAACCCTCATTGCATCACTTGTAATCAAAGTACAACGTACGTTGTACATCCGCTCATTAATGAATTGTTTTTTCAATAATTCGGCGGTTGGTCGGTTTCATAGGATGTTGTTTTCACTTCTTCGCTCAAGGAGACACAAAGGAACAATACCGTGAAGAGAGAGAGAGAGAGAGAGAGAGAGAGAGAGAGAGAGAGAGAGAGAGAGAGAGAGAGAGAGAGAGAGAGAGAGACAGAGAGTTTTTGAGAGAGAGAATAAATAAACAAAGACCGTTGGAAAGAAAGGGGGGGTCATATATGACCGTATTTCTGTAGAGGTATCAAAAATATATGATAGTTGCACACATATTATAACTGCATGACACAATGTCATCTAAGTAAATACGTAGTACTTTGATCCACAAGTGATGCAATCAGGGTTGAAATACTGCGTATCTATGTTCTCTCTCTCTCTCTCTCTCAATCAGGGTTGAAATACTGCGTATCTATGTTCTCTCTCTCTCTCTCTCTCTCTCTCTCTTTTCTCTCTGTCTCTCTTTTTTTCTCTCTCTCTTTTTTTTTTTTCATCTCTCTCTCTCTCTCTCTTTCTTTTTTTCTCTCTCTTTTTTTTTTTTTTCCTCTCTCTCTTCAGAGTGTTCATACTTGTCTTTATAAAAAAAAAAGGTAAACAACATGCGATGAAATCCGGAGTCCGAAAACAAAATTAAAATTTTTTGTTAATGTTTCCCTTTAAGGATCTACAAGGAACGTAAAACTTTAAGCTCCAAATGATGTATTTGGGTCTAAAAGGATATGTGTGTGTGTGTGTGTGTGTGTGTGTGTGTATGTGTGTGTGTGTGTGTGTGTGTGTTTGT